AGGCTGCGGCCCCTCCCGTGGAGGAGAGAGTGGAGGAGAGAGCTCGAGGCGGATGTGATAAGTGTAGTCGCCTGGAGCTGCTAGCCCGACTAGCGAAAGAGGGGCGGCAGTCGATCAGTCAGTCTGTCAGTCGACGCTGGGAGTGAGGTGGGGAGGAGGAGAGACAGGCCCGTCGATATCCGGCGCTGTTCGATAAAGTACGACGTCGTACTTAAGCTTGACGGTCTAGACTCCTCCGGCCCTCCCCCAGGCACTACTACTAACTAGCTACTAAATATTTGAATAAGAGTGGTCTACTAATTTACTACCCTTCTGGTTAGTTCGCGAGCTATCGAACCCTGGTTCCTAATGTCTAGTCTGATCTTTTTACAAGGGCAATTGCAAGGCCATGGGTGGTGAACCCTAACCCTGGGGAGTGGGACTGAGGGATGATCATTGACATTGACGCTTGGCTTGGGAGGTGGGGGATACGAGGTGGGGTGGCCGTGGTCACGATACGAGATCTCGTTGGGGGTGACATGTGTGGGAGAGCTGGGAGGGATATGTAGGTACCCTTGTGTGATGGGGAATGCAGCTCCGTTAGAGCAGGTACACAAACAAATCTAGTGCGCTTCTCTCGGCATGGAAAAGGGTGCAAGCTGTCAGGTCCATCTGGTACACCTGGCACTATGTGATTTCACTAACATCATTGCATTCTCTTTCACCGGACTATTCCCCAGACCAACCAGCGCCTGGAAAACAAAGCTTCAACACCAGCACCATCGATTCGATTCTCGATACCCTGTAGCTATTTGACTCACGCACCGCGCTTTCTATCAAGCTGACGACTCACCTCGCCGTCTCGAGAGTTAAGACATCCCCCCCCCCCCCCCCCAGCTGCTATGATGCCGGGTGGTTGATATATGTTTCCGCCGTTCTCCCGCCATTCCCGCGCTCATGTGTCCCCGGAAATCGACGCGATCGGTCCCGCTCGTGCCTGCTGGTGTTACCTCTACTTTTGCCGTATGTAAAGGTGAGGGCCGGACAGATAACAGGGAAGAGACATAGGAGCCAGATCTAGGTGGTGTACCTGCTTCCCCAATGCGATGGCTCTGTCGGTCCAGTTTGATCAGTATCACAGAACTTATTGTCCTACACCACGAACTAGCTGCAAGTACTGTCAGCGAGATTGGAGCAGAGAGCTATGCGTAAAGCTGGACCCGAAAATGGTGGAGATGGAAAAAATAAAAGCCCGCTGGAGGGGGTGCTCTTATATATGGTATACTCATATCGAGCTGACGGTCTTCATCTTTGGCTAGACTTGGCATAACCTAGCTTTCGATCTCTATTCGGGGCTGCAACGAAAATATTGCCGGAGGGACTACTAGTGTATGAGCGGGAGCTAGCGGGGTATATAGCGGTAGGGCTCTCACTGAACATAAGCTTTACTGCGCTAGCCGTTCGAATAGGACAGCGGTAAATGTAGGTAGGCTTGTACGTCCCCAGCCCTCCTGGTTACATGCTTCCAGCTTGCTACTAAGTAGGGGATGGGTACGAGACTACGGTAAAGCTATCGGGAATTTCATCGAGGAATATGCCGCTTTTCATTTATGCAGCTATCAATACCTTTCCGAGATGTTCTTGTCAGCCATAAGCCCACGCTTTCGGCGATCCCAATAGCTCACAGAGTACTCTGATATCTACACAAGCCAAACCACTATTCTCACTTCCATAGCTGACCAAACGGTGTTTATTCGCAGACCATAGCTATCAACCCACGAACGAGAAGACGAGAAAAATATGACAAGCCCAGCACATAGTAAATATCTGCTATATATGGCGAATATTACCAGCTCGATCTATGAAACTTTATCTACCCGATTTCACCCCTGCCTAGAGGTGTCCTTGGGGTTATGCGTGCAGCGTGTTTGCCCTCACTACATAATAAAGCAATATCCGGACTCATCACATTAAATCTCATGTTATCACAAAGATTGGATAGACTCAAAGGCAGTTTGGGATTGCTAGAGCTTAGTCATTCATACTATAGGTTACAAAAACACAGTACTCAAGTCAGTACACACCAAACCACCGTTACCTAAATCGACTGAGAAGTGGACGAATCCACGAATCAACCACATCAGACCCCACCATAGCCACCCAGACACTATACCCAACGACGTACGACTCCTCTCTAGATCTCGGAACCCAAAACCTAACATCCAAAGCTCTCAGATATATACAATCCCCACCGCACATCTCAAAGCAACTCCAGACACTATCTTTTGACGGCTTTATCCCTCTCTAGAGCCCGCAGCATAAAGGCTAGAGACCCCAACTAGCTACAAAACCCGGAGAACTGCCTCCCCGCGGTAACCCACCACCCCACCCCGCCATATCGAGTGATATCCCATGACGCAATAACCACCCGCGGGCCAATGTGCCAACACATCCACCTTACCCATCCACCCACTGAAGGAGTAGACTCCTCCCTTCTTTCTCTTAGACGCAGACAACGGCGGGACACCCTCCCCCTGGGATCATGCACCCCGGAGATCACCTCAAATCCTGGAGCCAAGCTTCTCGCTACCCGCGGCGGCGGTAGATGCCTTTCTTTCCCATCCGCGGTTGTGGGGGGAATCATTTCTATGAGCGTGGGGGTGTCGTGCGTTCCTTCTATTGCAGCAAGCCATATCTTTGCACGGAGATTGTATGTATTTACTTTTTTCTGGAGCTACATTCAAATGCCATTTTTCTTTTTTCCATTTCTTCGTTTTGCTGGGTGTACATAAAGCCACGACAGCCTGACCCCATAGATCCTCCCGCGCCCCCAAGCGAGACCTTAGTATTCCATATGATATGAAAAAACACTGCAGTCATAGCTAATTCACATATCCAGATCTCCCACAAGAATAAACCGAGTGACCGCCCATGACTACCACGTAACCCATCACGCAGCCAGCAGCCCCATCCCGAGAAGTCGGTTCTGCGCCTCAATGAGGTAGTAGTCGCCATACACGAGCCCCGTGTTCGAGCTCGCGGCCGTGTGTGTCTTTGCCGGATTGTTATCGATCGTGCCGTTCACTACCGCCGCCACCGTTAGCCCACATCCCACCCCACAACCGCCACCGCCAACCAACACAGAGGGGGGTAAAAACTCACTGAGGAAAGCATTAAAACCGATATCCGACACCGCAAACGGACTCTCCGTATACACTGCCGGCGGCGACTGACTCAGCGCAATCGTATCATCAATCAGATCAATCGCCCGCTGCAGGTACTTGTCCTTATACGCCGGCGCCTGCTCAATTAGATATAGCAGCCCACTGGCCACAATTGTTCCCGCGGACGTATCCCGCAGCCCCGTCACCGGCGCATTAAAATCCCAATACGGGACGCCATCCGCGGGGAGCCCCGCAAGGAAGTAGTCGGCGGCCTTGATAGCGGTGTCGAGGAAGGCCGTGTTCTTGGTCCAGCGGTAGGCGCTGACCATGCCGTAGATGGCCCATGCCTGGCCGCGGGCCCAGGTGGAGGAGTCGGAGTAGCCCTGGTTGGTGTATTTTGCGGTCACGGCGCCGGTCACTTGGTTGTAGTTTAGGACGTGCCAGGTGCTGCCGTCGGTGCGGAAGTGGTTGTTCATTGTTGTGGTGGCGTGGGAGGTGGCGATGTCGGAGAGGGTAGTGTTGCTGAATTGTTGGGCGGCCCAGTAGAGCATTCCCAGGTCTATCCGGCCGTGCCCGCCATGTCAGTCACTTCATACCCTACAACCACCACCCGGGAAGAAGAAGGGGGAAATGCGCACTCATCATATTATCAATAATCACCGTAAAACTCCCCGTGTCACTAATACTCCCCCAACTCCTAATCGTCTTCGTGACGCTATTATACCTCTGACTGAGCGCAATCGCCGCGTCATGCACCGTCTGGCGCGCCGTCGCATTCCCCGTCAGGATCGCATCCCACCCAAAGCAGTCATGGATCATGAAGCCCAGGTCGTGCGTGTCGGTGCGGTCCTTGTTCGCGCGCAGCGGCGCCTGCCACGTGCGCGCGAGCGACAGAAGCTCTGCGGACGACACTTTGAGGGTCTTGCTGAGGGAGCGCTGGTAGAGGAGCCAGAGGGTGCCCGGGAAGAAGCCGGTGGTCCAGGCGCCGGAGGACTGGTAGGTGTAGGAGGTGGCGGTGCCGATCACGTATTCGGGCCATCCGGTGGGGGCGGGCTGGCGTGCGGGGGGTGCGGGTTAGTGGTGGGGTTTGTTAGGGTCAATTGGGGATGGGGAGGACTTACGACCACGCCGTTGGTTTTGCCTTTGGTGGCGACGCCGTAGATTTTTGCGAGGATGCGGTCTGCGGGATGTTAGCGGTGCCCGGGGATGGGGTCGGAGGGGACGCGGTGCAGCGCAGTACCTTCGATAACATCACCGTTCGCAACCTATCAACATCTCAGTCAACACCGTCCGTCCATATATCTGCAATTGCTTCAACGGCAAAGAGAAGAAAAACCTACACCCGAAAGTTGCAGCGCAATGGCCACGACAGCAGCTCTGAGGAAATACATCACAGCAGATATCAAGGATCTATACTCCACACACTACAAAGCCAAGTACCAAGCTTAAAAACCAAACCAAACACCAAGCAGCAAACACAATCCACTACTTATACAACCACTATGACTACTCCCACCCCGGAAACACCGGGGGGATACTCCCCCGCGCCGAACGACAATGGGGCCTTCCTGGCATCCGCCGGCGGGTGCCCCGGGCGCTACCATCCTCACCACTAAATATCACCAGCCATTACTACTCTCGCGAGCGACGGAACCCGCGATGTGATGGGCAGGCACCCGCAGGTACGCAGGTAATGCGGGGTAAAGCAGGGCATGATCGGAGGGCATTAAACCGGGCCATGATGTGGTCTTTTGTCTGCTGTCGCTGTTGGTGTTTGTAGATCAGGCACTGGGGGGAGCTGGATAGTAATTAATCAACTGTGTGGGTTGAGGTGAAGTGAGGTGGGTATGTACCGAGTTAGCTGGGCATCTTTGCCAGCGAGTTTAGGCTAGAGTGGGGATCGATGTGGGCAGGGGAGGTCGAGAATAGTAGGCAGAGGGAGTAGCTGGTGAGAGTAGGTCGGAGTAGGAAGGTAGAGTAGAGAGAGTAGAGAGAGTAGATCACTGGTAGAGTAGGTAGATGGATAGTAAGCAGACGGATAGAGCAAGTGGATCGAGTAGATTACCATGGATGAGGGGATGGTCCTAGACAGAGATTCACAGAACAAACACCCGGTACCTCCCCCGTCGTCTCTCGTCAAGTCTCTCGACTACCTTAGCTCCCGGAAGATCTCCCTCTCTACCCTCTCTAGCCTCCAGCCTCTCTAGCCTCTCCCTAGCAGCCATGTTAGGGCTAAGGGTGCAAGTGCGGGACCTAGTACCTACTACAATATCGTAGTATCAACCCTCCCAGCTTCGGTATGTAGGCAGAACAACACGGTCAACACCACCCCCGGCCGGCACTTCCAACACTCCTCCAAACCCCCCAAGTTCCAACACCTGTCACCATGTCTCAAAGCACAGACAGCCACCCACCCACAGACAGCCACCCACTGGGAAGCTGTTTCTGGCCGGTAAGAGTATCATTTTCCTTTCTGCTCTAGCTAGCTACTAGTAAGTCGGCATCGGTGCGATCAGTCAATCAATCGGAGGCGTGGCGCTTGTTGTACCGAGATTTGGCTCCTAGCTGCTGCTTTTAATAATTGCTCCGGTCGGGTGGTCGGGGTGGGTGGTCGGGGATTTCTGTTAGAGAGCGATCAGTGAGCGGGCCTTTTTCACGGTCCGTAATATTAATGGATCCGGATGGGGTTATCGAGTGGTGAGCGTATCAGGCCGTGTGGCGGGAGGTTCGTGTTATGTAACTCCGTTTCATTGCACTCCGGCGCCACAGATGATGCGTGGGGTGGTTGGGTGTGGCGGTGTGGGATGAGACTCCCCCATCACACCGCATCACCCGTGGGAGGGTGGGAGAGGGCACGGGCCTGTTTCTGGGGAGGGTACACGAGTGATAGGAGGTGCATCCGGGTGCTTTGGTGTCTCAGTGGGTGGTGGTGGTCAGGAGTTAGGGTGAAGGTAGGGGCGATAAGTAATACATTATTGCCACTGGAGCACAGTCCTACTAGCTAATACTGAATATTGCTGAATACTGCTAATACCGAATACTGCTAATACCGAATACTGCTAATACCGAATACTGCTAATACCGAATACTGCTAACTACATGTACTACAGTACTAAATACTAGTAAATACCTATTGCAATTGTAGATACAAGTAATATCTATAGAGCGTATTTACTAATCGTCAATTCTGACAATTGACACTTCGCCACTCTCCGAAGTAGTATCCACAAGTGTCATTTTTTGGGTGGGGTCGCTTGCCAGGCTGTAAATTAAAAGGATACCAAATACACTTATAGGACACCATAATAGTTATCATCCTGTTCTTGCGGCTTGCGCATTTCATATCCCTACGGAGGGGAAGTGTCAATACTGCATTTTGCAACCGTCAATTTCGAAGTACCAATTATCAAAAATAAGTACAGTACTTAGTAAATACGCTCTAATATATATTAATACCCTATACTCTACAATTATTATCGATTTCTCAGAGAGGCAGTTTCATTTCATAATTCGTAATTAATTGGATTTAATGTGTCTTTACACAAAACTTTTTTGCAGTTCCCCGTATATACCTGAATGTCTGCTTCACCACCACCTAGCTGAATAGCTGTAGTAGTAGTGTAGCAAACACGCAAGAGGGGAAAAGTACATACTCTACCGCGAAAATCAAACCAGCCTTCCCAGTAGAAATACACTCAAGAATTAATACACATGCACACTTGCACTTGCACATTTGCACATTTGCACACACAAACCCAGACTCCCCACAAAAGAAATCCATCAACAAAGGAAAAAATAGTCTACTCCTTGGATCCCATCCACCGATTCTACCCGCTCAGACCACCGCCGCCCCCGCATGCGCCCTCGCCGTATACCCCAACCCCACATCCTCCCTGACCGCCTCCTCACTGTTCTCATACGTCACCTCGTACGTCTTACTCGTCGCAATCTCCAGCCCGCCCTCCTTGCCCACAATATGCTCCATGCTGTCCGAGTCCGTCCCGCAGATCTGCCTCTCGCTGTCGTTGGAGTGGTGGTTGGTGCTGCGGCTGCTCAGCTCCACGCTGTCATTCATGTTGCTGCCCTTGCCGCCCTTCTTGCCACTGCTGCTCAGGCTCGTAGATATCCATTTGCCCCCGTACCGCGATACGATGGGCTTGATCATGGGAACGTTGCCGACAATCATGGCGACGAAGGCTTCGCGGCAGGACCAGATGGCGATAACGAGACCGTTGGCCTGCGTGTTGGTGAAGGCGTAGATGCAGCGGAGGGTGGCGGCGATCATGACGAAGAAGCCGGCAGAGAACATGCCAATGAGGACAATTTTGCGGCGAATTGGCACCTTAACTTTGAGAAGGAGCTAGGAAGAGAGTTAGTTAAAGTTTTCTGCTATGGTTCTTTTGGAAAACGCAAGAACTTACAGGCATGGGGATGGCCATGATCAAGATATCAGTAGACACATTGACAGCAAGACTAATAACGTAGTAAAGGTTGTACTCGACCCAGCATTTCTCTGCAGTACCACGCTGTTAGTAAGCTGTTCAAAGCTTAAGGAGGAATAATGGAGGAAAGACTCACTTCCAGGATCAGGAATGACCTGCCACTGCTTGTGATATGGCCGACACGTCAAGTACAGTGTCAACATCATAATCACATATGTCAGTCCCGTCGCCGCAAACGCATACTTGATCAACGAAGCTCTCTCAAGACCAATACTAAAAATCACCAAATTAGCACCTCGATGTCACCACATCTTTAGAGGCAGAAAAACTCACGTAACCCTCCGGAAGAAAAAGATCATGCACAACTTCAACGTCCACACTGTCCCACAGTACGAGTTCCATCCCAGCAAAAAGGCCTTGCTACCATTGGTACGACGCCAGAACTCGTCTTCCGAGAGGTCCAGTCGCTCTTGCTCGGTCAGATAACTATTGGTGCCTCCCCAGGTTATAACCAGATGGGCTGCTGTGGACTCTAGAGTAAAGCAGAACTGTGGAGAATTTATAGTTAGATTTTTTGGTTTTCCAGGAGTGTTGAGGGGGAGAAGAAACTCACGAGAGCAAAGAACATGAGATAGTCGTCGGGCTTAAAATTCCGGAAGCCGACTACCTTCCATCTTGCAAAGGTGCGTGTGAAAACAAAGATTGCTGCTACACCGAGGTAGGACCAAGACTCTGTTAAAAAGCTTCTTCCTATTGCTACTTGTGCTGCTTGTGCTTGTGCTTGTGCTTGTGCGTCGGCCATTTCTGTGGTTTTTGGCGGGTGGTGGCGGTGACTAGTTGATATTCTTCGAATGGGTCGTAAATGATTATTCTGTAGCTTTCAAAGCCGATAACTGTTGTGTCTAATCGTCTAACTGTTCCAACTAATCCAACTCTCCTACTGACTGGTCCTTGAAGTCGGGATGAGGACCGGATCTTTATATACATAACTAAACCACCGGCTTCCATCCTTCCATCTGAAATAAGATGAACTCAGATGAAGGGGACGAGCGTTAAGACATCTTACTCCTCTAACTTACATGTAGGTATGTAGGTACGGGGGAGAGTCGGAAAAACTGAAAAAAAAAAGAAAGAAAGCCAGACAGATCTCAGAATCGACAAGATCCGCGGGCCGGTCGGTGGTTGGTGGCAGATGGGCATAAAACCCAGTTGGGTTGTAATAGTAATATTCATAATTATTGTCTTGCATGGACAATTACTACTCTACCAAGCAAAAACAGCAAACGCAACCCCCCCGACTGGGATATTTCCAATGATACATAGGAGCAGGCAGACAGGCAGACAGCTTGCGCTCAGGGCAGGCTTTTGTGCCACGAACGAACGTCGAACGGCTGCTGTTGACCGACTTACCAGGGTGTGCTAACGGCACTGCAGTTCTGCAGTTGTGGCTTTGCTTTTTTGTCCAGTTCTGGTTGTTTTGTCTGCCGCGGAGGTCGATGTCCTAGGCCAGGTCAGGGGAATTGAATATATTGGGCGAGTTTTATCTATGTCCACCTGATATGCAGTTGCAGTCTGAAGAAAATGTTGGAAACTGTGATAAGTTGCAGCATTCAATTTCTCCACCTGAGGTCTGTAGTCTCTTTAGGTTCTGCTTTTTTTTTTTTTTTTTTTACTGCAAATAAGAAATAAAACCAACACTCACATCTGAATCCCACAATATCTTTCTCCTTACCTGCGATGCCTCTCATCTCATGTGAGTGCGAGCGTGTGATACATACAGGCAGCCAGAGAGACGGAGAGAGACATAGTATCACAACTGTCAAACCTCAGTGTTGGGACCAAGTCAACGACAGCGGAGATCCCGGCTGTACCCGTGACATTTAATGGCCCTAATCCAACTGCTTCGCTTATGACAGTAGAAAGAAGCAGTCTCAGTCGCCCACGAAAGCGGTGTGAGTTCAACTGCCACACATGTACCTATCTCCAGCTATCCCGGTAGGATGCCTCTTTGGGATACTGCAGGTCGCTTACCTTAATATTGCAGCTCTGCCTATGTAACCCCCACTACCACTCATCGAGGCTGTAGCAGAAAATGTTTATTATTACTGTAGAGGAGGTACAGTTGCAACTCGATATGCCGGATTGCCAAGATTCTAAGGATTTCGTACGGGATAGCAAAAAATCCGGGATAGCAAATTGATTTTGCAGTAGGAAAAATCATATTCTCAGAGGATCTCGTACGGGACAGCAAGGGATCCGGTGTATTGAGTTCCGGCATATCGAGTTGCGACTGTAGTCAAGCTTTTTACGCACGGGTAGTCACTTCTCCTCTAAGGTAGGATACCAGGGGAGAGGTAGTCCCGAGTGATATGAAACGAAACGAAACGTCAAGTTCCAGATAGATACTACAGCTAGTACGTTGCCTGCATGTCTGTCGGTGCTATTAATGAACGAAATTACTGTACTTAGCTAGAGTAGGTACACAGTAGGTACTATACGGGCCGAATTAAACAGGGCACAGGACCTGGTTAGGCACTGAGGATTCAGTACACCAAGCTTGACGTGAACGGGTAAATGCTTAGGCCCGTATTAACCCAGTACACTGACTCCCGGATTTTTCATAATATTCGTAGCTGGTTAGGTAGAAGAGTAAATGGGTACGTATTCATATTCGCCTTCTGATCCTCAAAGTTCTAAGATGCATGGGTCAATACGTAGGGAGGTGAGCACCTTGTACCTATTCTGGTGGTTGGACCAACAGTTAACGAAGATCACCACCATAA